AGAAGACTAGAATATCTAACCATTTCTTGATGTTGTAGAAAGGTAGCAAATTCTTCTCAATTATTTTAAGACCTTGAGTGTTGGTCTGGCTGGGACTCGAACCCTCAACCTCCCGCACAACAGTCCAGCGCATTATCCATTGGGTTAACTGGGCAGCGAAAATGAATAATTTCTTGTGCAGGTCAACCCAAAGCTCTTTTTTTAAAGCAGTAGCTCACAATTTCTACTTGATCGCTTTAGTAATGAAATGATCATTTTGGGAGAACACTTAAAAACTTTTCTTGTGTTTTCATAACATCTCGAGCAGATAAAATGACAAACAATCAAAAAGTTCACTCTACTGTGTATGCAGGTGAAAAAATGCCCGAGAATAAAACAACGAGGAAGAAGGATTGAGCAGATTATCATGGACTATAAATGATAAACTAATTAATTTGTTTATTTATTACAGTTTCTCCAAATCTAAGTTACTAAATAAATAAATAATTAAATAATAATAATAATGATGATGGAGAGGCAGCATCCAAAAGTGTCGTAGGCACCATGCGAGGGATGCTCCCCAGTAAGCTAACAAAATATATCTATAATATTAAGAAACAATTATCAGAGTATAAAATCTTGTATAAAAATATTAAATTGAATTAAAACTGAAATTCTAAGTATTACCAAAAAATGAAGTGACTTTATAGCTAGAAATACCGACAGAATCCTTTATATTATTGGGAAGCCAACCCCTGGATAAATTGAGATGAGATGCTTCATTTCTTTGGAACAGTGGGACAGACAGGAAACTGGAAACAAGGAAATGAGAACTGACGAATTTTTCTATTCATTTAATAGTACATTTGTGTCACCTTTCATAAAACTTTTTGATGTTCATATACATTTTCATTTGTGTAAATTGTGGTATAAAACATTGAGATGACTTACACCTTTCCTTGATGAATCAAAGAACTCACCTGTTGGATGGAAGATGTTCGCATACAGATTGCAGCTCATCTGAATGGGAGAAAAAATTCAGACATTTTAATGACTTCATATACAATAAACCTGAAACACAGTTCCTTGCAGTGTCATGGGTGCCTTTTAGCAGCCACCTTAGATTTTTTCGAGCAAGAAATCGTCGATGATTTGTTGATTACTCAGTGATACATTAAATTCACTGCATGGGAGATTAGCTTCTGCAGCTCCACAAGAACCCCATTAGTTAACTTTACCTGTTCTCACACCCCCTCCCTCATAATGAGGCCAGGGGATCGGATTTTGGCAGAAAAAACTTTTACAACTGAAAAATTGTGACTAGCTACAAGCAGGCAAATTCCTGAGCCCTTTGAAAGACATTGGTAGAAGCACTAACAATGAAAATAAGATTAAAGTTCTAGTTAAGCTCCATAATATTTGAGATAATTTTCAAATATCACCTGTGGTGATAACACGATGTACACACTCAGATAATAAAGTATACGAACCTTTGGCAGCGGAGAGGCATCCTGTTGCCATTGCAACTTGTAAAGTTTGAGAAAACCTATCCATTGACAACTGAACTTGTTGTTCAATGATGCTGTGATTAAATTCTACAGTTGCTAACTTGTCTATAAGTTTCTTCATATCTTGAGAGAGTTCTTTCAGATCTGTTCCTTTGATTACATGTTGATTGTCTGACTCGTCCATAACTTCTCCAGGTTCCAGTTCCATTTCATCTTGTGGATCTTCTTTATCTTTGCCAGCTAGTAAAAAAGCTTGAATTATTGCTAGGTGAAGCTGAGAGCATAGCACTCTAGAATCCTTATGCATATGTAGAAAGCTTGTGGAGACATTGAAATCTAATGGCATTAATACTACCCAACGCAGTAATCCTAACACAGGACCCATGGGAAGAGAGGTGGACTCAGGAGAAGCTACTGATCCTCGCAAACTTCCAGCTGTCAGAAGATTGGCAGGACAAGTCATTATACACAGTTCAGGGTTGTCACTGACCCAGGATGCCACAACTCTAAGGAGAGCCGGGGGAGGTAGACTTGATGACCCAGTTGATAACCTTTCATCTGAAAAAAAAAATCAATATCATTCTGTCATCTTGGATTGAAAGCTTCCATCAAAAGGATTCGTTGTTTGGTCTGAAATACAGAGTACAGAGAGAAAATTAATTTTTCCTGCGAACACGTCTGTATGATGTTTACATCAGTAACCTAACCACACAAGTTCAATGTTCTTAATTTATGATTCCATGTTGACTGTGTATTCAACAGCTACTAAGTAAAGTTTTGGATTAAAGACAGGAGCATGACCAAAAGCTCTTGTGGTGTAATCTCCAGCCAAACAGGGTTTATCCATAATTCTAGTTGCCTTGATTTAGTTTGAGTTTATTCTCACACAGAATTTTTCCTCACCTTGCTGATTAACTGAAGTAACAACAGGATACAAACTAATAAGAGCAATCATTAACTGACAAGCCATCTGTGGGGAGTGACGTGCAAGGGACTGAAGGAATGGCAATGAAGCTGGCACAAGGCATGTGTAGTCTTCTACAATAGATGATGTCACTTTTAACACTAGACTAGGTAGGTGGTGATGTCTCTGGTAAAGATAAGACACAATCAGAAAGCATGCATTGAAACAAACACAGTTGAAGACATAATGTGGATATATCAACAAAGTTGAAATGATAAATTGGCCACCCTAACAATTACAAAAGCTGACGTTTCGAGGGTCAGCCCTTCGTCGGAGCGAATAGAGGAATTGTGGGTTGTGTGTGCTTTTAAAGGCAGAAAATGGAGCTATGTTATTGGTGGGAACATGGCAACGAAAAAAACACAAATAAATTAGTGGAATGAATTAGTTGAAGACAGATGTGTAACAAAGAGTTTAAATGTTTGTTACAATCTCAGTTAGGGTTATAAATTTTAATTTTAATCAAGAAAATTAGAGGGTCTCAAAAGGCCCTCTAATTTCCTGATTCAATGCTCAACCTACTGTGCTATGGTAACCTTGTCTATAATTCAGAGCACATGTACTAACTTCATATGTCAACTGCAAAATTATTGTTAGGATTGATCAGTAATGTCAAAAGTACCTTACAAGGAGACAAAAAAAAAGTTAATCATGAGTTATTAAACTGGTATTAATTTTTGAGCTCGATTTTGATTCAAAAAAGATTTCATTTGCCCCAGAGAGACTCAGTGATCCTTGAAAAACCAAAATCAATGACAAAAAACCAACCAAGTACCAATAACCTCCATCTGTAGTGAGCACTTGTAAAAAAAAAAGGTTCATTATCATTTTTTCAGCCAATTATTCATTTGAATTTGACTTGATGTAAGTTCTGTTTTGATCTTTTAATTCAACCTTGGAAGTTATACCATAAAATCATAAAATATGAGGAAATCTCTTAGGTTAATTTTGGTTGTGTAGAAAGCGAAGAAAAGAGGATCAATAAGCAATACAAACCTGCATCCATACGGCCATTGATTCTAACAAAAGGTTGCACTGCAATGCCACAGCCATGGAGGCAAGTTTTGTAAGAATTTCAATTTTCCTTTCAACCTAAAAAGTTGCATAGATTGAAATATTGTACTTACTCCTTCAAATGATATCCTCACAACAACCTGCATAGCAGTTGAAATGAGTAATTAAAAAAATTTCCATCACACAAATCTATTCATTATTGACATGTATCTTACCTTTCCATCTTTGATATCTTGACTTGATATTCCAAACAGCAAATAAAACACTCCACATCTCACAATATCAGATGGTTGGTCTTGAAAGCAGGAACATATTACTTCTAAGAGCTGAAGTTCCTGAATGGCAGACAAAGGTTTTGAGCCAGAACCCTTGCTGTGAAATATGTATAAGTCAACAACATCGTCAAGAAATGCTGACAGATAAAGTCCTGGGTTTGGAGGTGTGTCTGGTGCATAGGCTTTCAAATATTTCTCTAACATAAGAATGACATCTCTACTACAGTCTGGAAACTGGGAACAACTCAAAAGGTGCTTGACATAAGAAACTTTCCCAGGGATATCTGCCTTCCATGATGCTATATCTGTAAAATAAATACACAAAGTCAAATCAGGTGATTGTGTAGCTATTACAATCATCTGGTTGAGAGTAACTCTAAATCTGGCAGTTATTAGCAGTATTGATGAATGTTTTGTATAGGTAATAGCATGAGGCTGAGTAAAATTATGGATTAATATCACGCGTGTTTTCAGAAGTTGCTGAAATTGCCAGAGTCATGCAGCGACGAGGGCAATTTCTGCAACTTCCGAAAATACAAG